ATCATGTATGGCGTTTACATGATTAGATTGCAGCAACAGAATGTTCAGCTTAATATTTGGAACAGAAAAAGACAAAATTTTTTAATTTGCTCTCTTTAATTATGTATTTTTAAAATATACTTTGAAGTATTCACTTTATTTTCCTTTTTGTAAATTGTAATGTATATTTTATCTCTATTTGTCTGAAATATAAATAATTTTTAATTCACTGTGTGTTTGGAGTAAACCTAAAATCGCTATAACAATGATTACTGGTTTTGTTTAGGCGTGAACTTGTACTCCAAAACAATACAGGTATAGCAAGTACAATAGACCTATGAAGGTTGCCGCAATAAAAATTTACAATATATGAAAATATCTCTTATAACCCATTAAAAAATATATCTCCGTATGCAATAAATGTACCAGATGTTACTAAAGACAGAAATACTCATTAGGTTCCACACGATTCCGTTCTCGTAGGCTTGTCGTCTCCGCTGAGAGCATGCATCAATGGTCTAATGGAGTAAGTATTTTGATGGACACCGATACAGAGCGCTTTCAGACAGTTCTACATGCACAGATTGACAATATCTACCAGGTTAATGAAGCGACCCGGCCTTACATGTAGAAGGGAATAGAGAGTTTTTCTTTTGTATTTACGTTCTTTATTTTTTTTTTACCACGTATTTGGTAATCAAGCATTCGCAATGTTTATCGAAGCCTATGGACGCATGAAATACCAGAGGTTGTCACATGCGCGCGAATCATCACCAACTCATAGAACTTACATAAGGAAGAAACCAAAATTCACTTTGTCTGTTATTAACAGTCACATGAGTGATATAATAAATTATAATAGATAATCTAATGAAATACTGTTATTTGTATTATTAAATTTGGATAAATCTACACCTTCCACATGTTAGGCTTTCAGAAAGTATAATAAAGCTTTTCTCGACAATGGAAGTTCTTTAGGAACAGAACTATTTCCTGCTATCAATTATTTGATCCTGTCCTGGATATTAACTGTTGTCACCTCTTAAGATCTCTCCATTATTTACTTCTTTAGTTATCGCATACACTTCTAAGTGCCACAAATTCTTTAAATGCTTCGCATATCCTTTCTTGTCCAGGAATATACGATATAAGTCAAACTATCTTTTTCAAATTATATGTTATAATGATATATATTATTAATGTAAATTCAGCTACGATTATTATTCATATATATTTTATTGTTTTCATACCAAAGCTTTGTAGCTGCCTCAATTAAAGAGAAATATAAATAAAGAAAGTTAATAATATCAGCTATTTTGAATTTTACTTATTCATATTTATAAAATATAAAAATAATTAATATTTTTATTAGTTCATAAAACCCTACGCAATATGTATTTTGTATTGTAACTGTGATAATTTAATGATATAGATTAATAAAGATAGGTAATAAAGATAAAATTAGGTGTATTACCTATATTAAAAAATACATCAACTGAGCCTAATAAGATTTATATAAATTGCATATCCTACATATGCATATGTAGGATATGCAATTTATATAAATCTTATTAGGCTATTACTGAATCTCTATATTATACTATACTATATCTCTATTAACTCATTTGAAATATGGTTTTTATTATCAACGCTTTATATCAACTACCTACCGAATTTTCGAAGAATCTACAGAATGGAGTTTTTTAAGAGGAGTATATTGAGGTTTCTTAAAGTTCGGAAACACGTACGTGACACCTCTGATGTTTGAGGTACCCATAGGTTACAGTAACCGTTTACCATCAGATGGGCCGCATGCCAACGTCGTAGCATAAAAATACATATATTCTACTGAATGACAGACTTGCATCTTGAAGAAATTTAGAGAATGTATGCTATACGAGTAAAAAGTGGAAGTGATATACTTAGTCAATATAGAGTCAATACTAAGCTATTTGAATTGTCTTTGATGTTTTGTTATCCCGAGTGACTGACTTAAAATCATATGGAAAAATATCATAATATTAGGTATAATTCATATAATTTACATTAAAAAAAAATTATAATGAAATAGCCTTCTGCCAAATAAATATTTTTTAATTTATTTTTTTTTCGATCGAATTGCCGTCTGGTACCTATTATGATATATTTTATATTTATATCCGTATTGTATGTTTGTAAAACAATAATACATCAATAGTTGCTAATATTGTTATGAAGTAATGTGGTTAGCGTTGCTGGTGGCACAAACACTTATTTGATAATTTTAAACTCTTTGGTTATTCCAATTGTGTTTTACTATTTGTAACTCAGGCTAAAATGACTGTATTCATTTTAGTCTGAGTTACAAATTGTAAAACTTATCCGACAGTCATTTTTAATTAATAATGCAAGTGCAAAATTAATAATGCCTAATGCAAGTGACAATATAAAAATAGATCGGGGCACCAAAAGCCTTTTTTTACTTGGGACTAGCATTAGCACGTTTACATGGAATCCAAAATGTGTAAAAAGTCTTTAAAAATTAAATGCTACGTTTAAATTCAGCCGCTTTCCCTGCCACTCGCGCTGCCGGAAATACTGCCGGGCGACAACTGAGCGAGAGGGCTGAATGTAAAAACACGCTGCCACTCGCGCTGCCAGATCTTTGACTCGCGCACGAAAAACCGACAATCTATTAGCTATTCGCCCTGGCTTCGCATGGGTGTACATGTATTATATATATAAATCTTCCTCTTGAATCACTCTTTTAAAAAAAACCGCTTCAAAATCCATTACGTACGTCTTAAAGATTTAGTCAGACAGCGACAGCGACTTTATTTTATACTATGTAATAATAGTATTTTGATCGTATGATTTTCGGATATCGTTAAATTGTAAATTAAGACAAATTAGCTGACCGCCCACCTGATGGCAAATGATCACCGTCACCTATATATAACAAGGTGAACAGCACTCCAGATACAACTATTGTAGATTATTCTGTAACGGGTGAGGTGCCCTTATGCATTACCGACCTAGGTTCGGTTAAATTGTGAGATGAGGCGTTGGAACGTGTCATACATAATTTTACTGCCTTACCTCTCACTCTTCAAGCAAAATACATCTTAAAAAGAAATAACTTAGACCGAGGTACACCCGCAGACAGAAAGTCTATCTCTAAATTCGCACTAATAATTGAATTTAGAGATAGACTTCAAAAATGTTGTCTGTACAGATTCATAAAATCTATCGGTTCCTCCGATAGATTTTATGAATTTGGCTTTTTTTAATCTACGACCTACTTTGTGGATTTTAGTGCGAATTTAAACATTTATAAATTGGAAACAGGAAATTTACAGTCAAGTTTTAAGTTTAACGTATCTTTGAACAACACGTGAGATTATCTCCGAATTCATCGAAATAGTGTACATTGACGTTTTGGCGGAACAAATATTGAAACATGGTGTAGACAGTCGGAAATGAAGATAACCAAGTACTATACCTATTTAATTTAAAACGATAGTACTATCTTGTAAGTATGTTAGATATCTTGTACGATATTTATTTAAATTTTATAGTTCGAGATGCACTTATTATATTGGCACAATAATTTATAAAATTATTTTTTTTATATCGAATTTTAAAACAACAGGAAGCAGCCATTTATATAGATACTAAGGAAAATATTATTTTAAAATACGATGATGAGTAAATACCTAACAATATCAAATAATAGGTAATCAGAAGCATATATATTTTCCCGTGAAAGACAAAAATAATAGAAAGCAAAATATTTATAATCAAGACACTACTCAAAACAGAAAACAGTCTATTTTTCAGTCCGGATTATAAAATAAGGAACAATGTAAACTATTACTTTTACATTGTTCTTTATTTATAATTATGTAAATAATAACTAGCAACAAAAGAATTACTATAAAATTCAATATCGACTTAATAGAACGTAAAATCTACGAAAGTATAATCGACAACACTGCGCATGCCTAACATGCCTACTGGTAGCGCCATCTATCGGCAACAAAAGAAACTAAATATGACAGATTCAGGCAATAATTTGTTTACTATTCATAATATTTCAATATATTCACTGCTATATGGTACCATGCAAAATATTTCAGTCGATTTAACGATGTAACATATAGTTTTAAAAATAAAACTGCTAATAAAATACTTACAACATATGAATTGGTATCAGCTGTCATCTGTCAAAACTTTCGCCACAAATGTTCACAAAAACAGATCAAATTCTCATGGAAAACACTGTTTCGACCGTTTAGGATTAAAAACTACGAATACAATTGAATAAAATATGCATCAATATAGATTTTTGGCAACATTCCATATGTTTTCATAGAATTTCAAAACATAACCTATACACGTTCTATTTGGGTGAAATCTTATTAATTTTCTTCAAGAAAGTTATACACAATCACTAAGGTAAGAATTTCATTTCTTCCTTTACTAAATACAAATTTATCAGAAATATTAATGGAGTTTTATAAATTTTATATTAAACTAATATGATCACTTGTATCATTTGTTTTGATCACTAAATTTATTATAAATACTCTTTGCAAAACTTTATATATATTTATTAGTTAATATTATAATTAATGTTTTGCCATAAATTCAACAGTTATGTAAAAATAAAAATTTAATTATAGTTTATTTTTCACATTGCTTACTCTTCGGATATGTGAAAACTTAAATTTCAATTAAATATTATTTATATTATGAAATTATCATGTGATTTCTGTACAACCATTGACTGTTATAGGATTATTACTGTTGTAAGTCATATTTCACTGACAATGAACAGTGGGATCCACCCGTTCACAAAACTTGTGCATATATAGCTCACCGACTCGCACAAAATGCAATATATTAATTACAATATTAATGCTTTTAAGTTATACAATATAGATAGAATGCACTTTCACACATATGGCATATACTCAGTTCCCCATCCAATGAGTTCGACCCATATGGAATATTGCCAAAACCATATCTCAGCAACCCACCTTCTTCATTATCCCAGTCTTCCGCTTAGAAAATGTAGTGTATCGCCGTAGTTTGTTATCTATGTACTCCATTTTGATCTTGACGCGACCCTTGGTCTTTTTGCCATTGGATGGTGGTGACTTCTTGGGCTGAAGAGATGCATAGCCATCGTCTGCTATGTCAGGCATGGGGCAGTGCTCCAGCCCTACGCTCTGTGACGGTCGCTCATCGTAGCACTGGTCCGAGGGTCTCTTCACACCAGGCCGCGGCATCGGGCAGGGCTGCATGCCCGGCCTCAGGCCTCCGCCGAGGGAGCTGGGCGGCCGGCCTGCGCCGTACATATCCGGCATTTCCCCAAGGAGTCCCATACCGTACGGCGACCCGAAGCGGGGCTCCCGCGCTCCGCCGGGCGCGTCCATTATAACCTCGCAGTACGCCACAGTAACCGGTGCGCGCACGCGCTTTATACACCTCACCGTCCGAACGTCGAACGGAGACTGAACGAAAACGCGAAAGAACCGAGGGCGGGACTGACGAGTCGGCCGCTCGGACCGCAACTGACTTCGCGCGGTTCCGTCCCGCGCACCTCGACCTCTATCTGTCTCGCTCGCACGTCGACGACAATAGCGAAACGCGAGAGCGACGGAGCATCGAGCGCGGCCGTAACCCGACACATCCGTAGGAAAAGCGTTCTGAACCGGGAACCCGCGAACTATTCAGTAGCCAAAATCAGTATTAAAATAGAGCTTTTATTTTGAGTTTATTTCGTAAATAGAAATAATAGAGTCGGAAGTGTGGCGGCGCGCGCGCCTCGGCGGGGCGGTGGGCAGGCCCAGAGCCATATTTAGACTCGAGCCATACCAAATATGGCAATCGACGGTCAAATGGGGGCCACTGAAATCCCTCCTACTTGCACCTGGCGATTTTCACGTCTAATAATTAAAAACTATGTCACGTCACTTGTTGGATATCTACGCATACCTACTGCGTACCTACTTCAGTTAATGTCGCTACCATTGCATCTACATTGTCTATGGTTCTCTAAGAAGTTTAAGAAAATACCGATACTGGTATAGATGGCCAGCAATTTGCCACCTACGATCCTCCAAATGGAGGCATAATTAGAGAAAAATTCTCGCCCGTTATGGCCGTTTGAAAAGTCTAATTGGATTTAATAAGACCAATATATTTATATGACGTTAAAGAGACCATATTATGTCATAGTGAGTAATGTTTAGAACATAGTTGTGAGAATGTTCCACTGATATATAACATGTATAAGAGACGTAACATCGTTTTCTGGAATTACAATGCAAGTACCAAAGACATCGTTCTTAGACTTTTAAATTTTAATAACGAATTGATCAATTTTATATACAGCTATTGTTTTAATTATATATTTTTTATAATTATGTCTACATATCGGAATTTATGTTTTTAAATCTACCAAATTATCTAGTACAAAAATTTCACTATCGCAATAGTTTCACTGATGCATAAGTTCACCATAAAACATGGAATTCCAGGAACAGAGTCTGATATCAAATATCAGCAACCACTGAATAGAATATCGAGTTTACTAGTGGCACATTTAATTTCCATGTCTCTCTATTAAATTACAAAAACAAACTTAATTACTCACTAATCTCTATTGATATTTAAATGTTTTTTTACTGGAATGGCAAACAAGTTGGCGGACCTGATTCGCTTTTATACATGAACAGTACTACGGACATCACGTTATCATGTGATACCACTTATGTGCTGTTAGTCCAGAGGGCTATCATGCTTTTTATTCAGTACTTTCTTAATTAGTGGTACGCGTACCCACAGGGTTATGTAAAGTATGCAACTTCACACACTACACAATAGGTACGTGCATGTACCGTATCAGTAAAACAAACACACACACACTCACAAACTTTCACATTTATAATATTAGTGTGATTGCTACAATAAGGGGTACGCAAGGTTTGAGGTCTTTTTTGAAGTGGTACGCAGCAAAAACTATTTGGGAACCACTGATCTATATAATCGTTATTTCTCTAATTGATAGGCATTCGATAATCAAGTATTTACGGAGAGGTAGCCAAATACTGTCAAATGTCCTATACAATGGACGCTAAAAATAATTATTTATTTATTATATTTTTATTTATATTCTTTATTGAACAAAAAAAAATGTTTTAAGTAGGTCTAACTGACCAACAACCCTAGCAGTAGGGTTACGAACGTTATTCGATTTGAAAGATGTCAGCACATTTTAATGACATCAAAGATATGTTCTATTTTTAAAATGATGTCATTTTTTTAAATACTACAAGTATTATGTTTTATTATAATATAAGTACTTTTTTATCGTTCTAAAATTAAAATGATTATCTATAACATTTTTAATTTTAGAAATCAAAATTTTCTAGTCATATATTTAACACAGACTAAAATCTATAATTCTTTACGGAACATTGTTTTGTTTTTAATTTTGCAATCTTAACTGCATAATGGTTTTTTTAATGTAACTGGAATCACAAACTAGCTGACGGACCTGATGGTAAGTGGTAAACACCTTCTAGACAAATAGAACATAATGACACGAAACTTTTCGTCATCATGTGACCCCTGTGGTATCACTCAATCATTACTATTCCGTAAAACTAAGATGTATTGCATATATTCTGTAATTTCACTGTCATATCCATTCTCTTCAATCGAAACGGTTTTCAAAGCAAGCTGATTAGCGTCTGAAATAGTAAGACAGATGTACCTGACGACTTTTTATAAATATCTATATGTAATTTTATATTACCAGCTTTTCACTAAATGCATATGAAAGTATATACGTTTTGCTGGTTTTTTACTCTCATTATTATTATTAAGTAGAATTTTATATGAGTTTAGCACACCGCCTTCTTGTGGTCGCGGGTTCGATTCCTAGCACGGCAAAAACATTTGTATTCATGAGTATAATTGTTTGTATCGATTTGGGTGTTTTCTATGTACAATGTGTATGTATTTACGAAAAAAATATATATCTATGTATTTGTATCAGTTATCTAGTACCCATAACACAAGCTTTAGCTAGCTTAATTTGGGTCTAGATGGCGCTGTGTGAATTGTCCTGAGATTATTATTTTTATTAACTAGTAAGGTTAGATACCTACTGCTGGCATATATGTTATGTTTTCGTGTTATTAAAAAAGTTTCGTGACTTTTATACGTGCTCGAGTACATAAGCCGCCCACCCATCCCCAGCGTCCGTGTTACGATGTCTTACTGCCATAGTGTTGCCATGTACAGAAACTATTTTATTACACTTAGTCACAGGGCATTAACCTCCATATTTTATATAAACATTTATATATTTAGTTGGAATAAGTCAAACGAAACATCTTCTATACATCTAAATGGATAACACATGTAAACAAAAGATATAAAAAGAAAAAAAAATCTTAAAAAACTCATCTCACTGCTCGACTCCTAGAGGTCTTAATTGATTGATTAGACCTTTTGCTTTTGCTAGCATATGCTGCTTGTCACTCTATTCTCCCAAATTAGAATTAAAAATGAATCTGTATTATTGTTAACATTTTTTTTTATTTCTTTTTAAATTTAGAGACTTTTGTACCATCTAAGTACATGTCAGTCCCATTGTACCCTAAAACCAATCACTCCATTACCTCACCAGTGAACAAATTGCCTTAGCCGCACCGCTCGAAGGATCGGCTAAAACAGTTTGTATGGCACCAACATCTAATATATTTATTTCATGGTCTTGTTGTTATTGTTTATTTCATTGTTAAAATATACAACATGTATTTGAAAAGAATACGAGCTGAGTTTCTTGTCAGTTCTTCTCATCTCGAAATCATTCCAAACTGACGCTAGACTTGGCATGTCATAATAAACCTATATGAATAAAGATATTTTGAATTTGAATTTTGGACTTAATGTTTAAAAGCCAATAAGCTCGAGAGGGGAAGAGAGGAGGAGATTGCTAGTAACGGGGATCCTATTGCTAGCAATGTATTTACCACGTCAGGACGAGCTCCACACAATTTTTCCTGGAAATCATGTGTTCCATTACGATGGGCTATCTGACCTGACCTCATTCTCTTTTCATCCTCCACTGGTGCCCCGCCAGCGTATACTTTAGCGCAGGCAGATGCACCTTTGGTCAAGAATAAAGGTGTCAAATAATAGAAATAGAAATAAACTTCATTCAAATAAACTCAATACAAGCACTTTTGAATAGTTATATTTTTTATTCTACCACTCAAATGCTAAAAGACTTGTAGTTCAAGAGTGCGTTCAGACAAACCAACAAATTGTTCATTATTATATATGCGTATTTGTATAGATTAAATAATTACCTACACTGAATTTCCAATTTATCAATTTCTGACGTATTAATACATTAATTAATATTTACCTGGAAATAGTAGATTTATTAATATTATCGAATTATTGAATACCTACTTTCGACTGCGGGTTCGCTCACGTTAATGTTGAATTTGTCTAATTTTAATTACAAATCTAGTTATATTACTAATATTAAAAAATCGAAAGTTTGTGAATATGGACGGATGTTTGTTACTCTTTCACTAAAAAAGTACGGAACGGATTTTGATGAAACTTTACAGTAATATAGCTTATACAACAGAATGAGCGCAATAACACATAGGCTACAATTTTCAAGTGGGTGAAACCATGGGCACAGCTAGTACTTAATATTATAAATCCGAAAGTGCGATTGTCTGGCCATCTATCTGTTTGATACCTTTTCACGACTAAACGGCTGAACAGATCTTAATGAATTTGAAATAATGATAGATTGTATTACAAGGACAGATAACCTAAGCTATATATAAAAATAGGCGATGTCCCGAGTTACAAACGGTTAGAAATTCTATAAAGGTTGAAGTAAATTGGATATAAAAATTATTCATTTATATAACACACACATAATATCCCTTCCCTTACCTACTGAGACTACATTTTCTATAACGATCTTTTAGGACCCTAAAAGTTAAAAAAGTGGTCTCGTCGCGTCGTCAAGTCTCCATCTATCTCTACACCAAAATTCATCATAATCGAATAAGCCACAGGCGTGAAAGCATAACAGGTAAATAAACTGCCTTTCACATTTATAACATTAGTCAGACTATTGCAGTTATTATATTACATAAGCGGATATTTTATATTTATTTCCTTATACATCACTAGCTTTTTCCCGCGGCTTCGCACGCGTTAATTTATCCCTATTGATTGATATCATCTTTCTCCTAACATCCTCCACTGCTGCCTTGACACCGCAATCTACCGTTAACGCAATTCACCTGCCTACCTACCTACAATTCCATTTTCAATGCTGGTAGCTGCAGCTGTCCTTACCACTTCACCAGACGATAGGGGGCGAGTGCAGATGGCACTCCAAACCCGCAGACTTATGGAACGGCTGAAAGCCAACTCTATCCTGACGGATACGACTTTAGTTTGATTGCAGTGCTAGGAATAAAACTGTATTAAATGAATCTTTCCTTCAA